GAGCAATTTAGCGAGAACATACACTGCATACCTTTTTGTAATAATTGTGTACCAAGGCAATACATACTGTATAGGGTTTTTAAAAATGGCAGGGTACATATCTATGCATTTATACTTTTATTTTTTTGATAGCAAAAGTGCAGATGTTTAAGTTTGGGCTAACATGTTTCAAGGCAAGAAAAGCTAAGACTATTTTATTAAATACTGGGAAATATATCTTGTTTCATGTGGTTACAGGGTAAGCTTGTATAATAAATAAAGGTTTCCGAGTCAGTGATATTAGATTGTGTGTATTTTTATTGTACTTACCCTGTAACTACATGGAACAAGAGGGTAACAAGCACCACTTTAATTTACAGCCCGCAATGTCACACTTACCCTGTAACTACATGGAACAAGAGGGTAACAAGCTACATGAATCAAGAGTATCTTTCCCCAATATTTAAGCAAAAGTTGCAATAGTTTTCGTTTTCAGTGCACTTTTGTTAAAAAGATTACATTTTAAAAATTACAGGGTACATATCTATTATATCTATTTATAAAGCCTATACAGTATGTACTGGTTCACCATTATTTCAAAAAGGTACGTAGTGTATGTTCTTGCTAAATTGATCACAAATGTAAGATTGTTATATCATAATAGTAGAATAAGTACCCCTTAGTTCTATAATACTCACAATATTAATATTTTTTTAATTCTCCTGGTTGTTACCCCTTTCTTCCCCAAACTTAAAATATTGTTCCCTTATACTTATATTGTAAGTACGTTATAGGTACACTATAATTACCGAAGGTTACGCTGTAAAATTGCTTTAATTACCCAGTACTTTCTGGGCTGTAATCTAAAGCGTTACCAAAGTTTTTACTAAAATAAGTGGTAAATATCAACTCTATTGTTAATATTTCTCATCACATTAAAATGATTACAAATTATATGCAGTCATACCCTGACTGATATTTTCTATTAATCTAGCCATTTAATAATAGATCAGGATTATATGTGTTTCGATGGATGAATCGTAGCTCGTGGTTCATGTTGATAATGGAAATATATATTTATGTAAATAAGCAATAGGTTAAAATATGAATTATGAATGTGGGTTTGAAAACTTGATTTTCTAGGGGACATCTGTTGATATACAATCTTGAGTCACCTCTGAATAATCCTATTCTCTAATTAATTATTCATGTTTCATCGTTGCTCTTTAAAACGTACAGCCAATCAGATTATCCATCTTGGTTTTACTTCATGAATAAACAAATTAACTGTTGAGGAGATCCTACCTCTCAAATACTCTCAGACAGAGAAACGTTTGTTTTATTTTTTATGGGGAAGCATTATTTTCCTTCTTTGTTGTAACAGATGTTATTGTGTCCCTTGTGTCCTGAGGCTGATGAGGCAGAGCTTTGGCGCAGTCATTCAGCATGACTGTCTCCTCTTGCAAATTAACTCAAATAGAGTTCTTTATAAACAACTTAGCCATGTATATTTTTACATGTCTTATGAAGGTCACCTTATTTGGAAAGTGGCCAAGAACTAGACTAACTGACTGAGAAAAACTTAAAATCAGTGATCTGGACCACTTTTATGATATTTTCATGAAGCTTTTAGATATTTTTTTGAAATTTTAATGTCTCTTTTTTTATTTTTTTTTATTCCATGGAATAGAGTATTCTTTAAAGTCCTTTTATATTCCAGGGAAGAAACAAATATATATGGGTTTGGAATGACATGAGATTGAATAAATGATTGAAATACATTTTTTGGGTGAGTTATCACTTTAAAAGAATATAAAAGTAAGGCAAATTGCCACAGAAAATATTAGATATTAGAAAACAATATCATAATTTGAAAACATGCAAAGAGGAATGTACCTTAAAAGATCTTTTGCGTAACAGACAACTATATCTTACAAATATAACTGTCTAGTATTACATGCTATATAACTTTTTGCACTGAAAAGACTTGCTTCAAATTTCAGTGCGAACTACAATTTATTCATCAAATGAACATCTCATGAGAGTTATTAACAGAATCTACACTGGCTTTATTTAAAGGTGTGTGGACGGTATATAGAAAAGACTTTGCAGACAAGCATAATTTTTTCATATCAAAATTCCACAAAGTCCCATTGCCTATATTTTATTAAAATCCCATGTTAAATAAATCAAACAGAGCCACACATACCATTGTCTTTGTTAAATAAGAGTATGTACTCTTTGATTATGGATGTTTGTTTGTCCTTTTAAAAACATGTTCACCGTGATGTTGTACATGTTTAGGTCTGTCCATAACAATTAATTTTGAAAAAAGAGCAAGTAGTCTATTTTTCACACCGACATGAGAAACCATAGCTCACATTTAGCACGTGAGAGCTCCAGCAGAGGTGAGTCCACAGGGGCTGGTTGCATAAACCTCTAAGACATCAAGTTAGACATCACATTTTTTTCTGTAAGACCTTTATTCAGTTACATAAAAACGTAGATTAACCTAAATTGATACCGAAAACTAAGACTGACTGCCCCTGACTACTGCTAGAGGTTCATACTACTTAAGCACTGTCTTAACATAATGGCTATGTTTATGCAACTGGCCCCAGGTCTCAGATCCTGTTTGTGCGAAGGGGCAGATGATTCAACATAACCCCTCTCAACAGCTCAGCCAGGATGAATATATTTCACAATGGATTACAATGGTGCATGTGATGGGTCACTGTGTATTCAGACACTTAAATGTTGGATAGAAGGGGGTGGAGGCGAGTAAATAAGAAGTGTCTAATTTCACAAAACTGTTCATTTCAAGAGGATTATGCTATCTGGTAATCATGCGGTGTTGACAATTTGAATATTCTGTACTTGTTGACTCATGCAGGATTTGAGAATTGTGTTTTCTTTTGTATACTGGTAAAACACCTCCTACAGAGGCAGGGATTTATAATATTCCAGGTTCAATGCCAGAAAAGCTATATGGGCAGAGTTGACTGACACCACAGACAGAAGACTCATCCCTCTAGAAAATTGAGAGAAAAAAAGTGTTTGCTGCATGGCATTCTAGGGTTAAAAATGCAGCTCATAGGCTATATATTTGGTTACCTTTATTATGCTTTACCAAAATGTGTATTATATTAACAAGGAGTTTAAACCATAAAAAAATATTCCATTACAATGTACAAAGCAGTCTGCATAAAAACATGAACACTGCAACAGTAGCAGTTACTGCCAGATTTAGTGGGTTCATACGGTTCAACTTCAGCTAACTATATGTTACGCAGATTTCAAATTTTACACATTATATACTCTCAAAGACACACAGCAAACATTTTTACTTGTTTGAGAAGCCGTATCAACTTTCGTTTCCTATTGGCTGCATCCGAAATCGCATACTTCACTACTATAGTAGGCAGAAAACATAAGCCTGTGTGACAAAAATAACTACGTCTGAATTCACTGTACTCATAAAAGAGTAGGCAAGACGTACCCGGATGAACTACTTCCGGAGAGATTGTGTGTACCATGGACACTTTACTAGCCCATGCCATGAGGCCACAGGAGAGGATTTATGAATGTAACTGACGCTGGTAGGTGAGGTCACGTGATAAAGGCAAATATGGTGGATGTAGTAGTACGTCCGCATTACATTCATACTACACACCTTCATACTAGAACATGCTTTTTAGCGGTCGTAAAGTAATTCCCTATACGAAATAAGTAGCCTACCTACTCAAAAAGTATGTGAGTTCGGACGCAGCCTGACTTTCCTCGGCTTGAATGCTGGGATAATGAGAAGAATCAATTCATCAACATTGTATAGCGTATCCTATCAACTGCCTCACATATGAGCGTTGGCACCATATTCTCTTACATTCACTGTATCATGTGCTGTCATTTGATAGGTCTGTGGATTACTTTTCTAGGCAAGAGATATAAACACGCACATCCTGTCATCCATTCATCCCATTCATTTGAGCATCTTCGCAACTACACAATGTATGGTCTGACGTCTGCCTTCCCAAAAGATCATTATGGAAAGTTTTGTGTTTGAATCAAAAGTTGTTGTTTTTTTTCTTTTCATTTGACTGAACTAAGGCTAAAATTAAACCTCACTACGAGAGCAGTAAAAAAAAAACACACAAATGGATGGTTCAAGCTAACATTTGGATTGTTTGAAGAGAATTGTGGCAAACCTTTTGAAGTGTAGGCCTACACAGAATGTCACTCAAGGTTTACTTTGTTTCAATGTGTGTATAGCCTGTGTTTAATCACTGTACCGTGGAATTGATATTTCGTGTCGTCCCAGGCAGCTGTAGGCTACAGATGGACAACGTTGGGTAGATAGACATGCTGCTTCTCTCTCATGTCTTGCTGCATGATTAAGTCAACACTGCACCCTGCTGGATTCTCCTTCAAATACACCTTGTACATGGGTCAATTACTGGACGATTTTTGTCTGGGTTTAGTAATTTATTAAAAAACATTAAATATACAATTCATAAAGACAATGACTTGAATACACATAATCTTCTAGTATTAGATTTTTTTATTAAATTAAATTTCAAAAATCAAGATGAACCAAAATGATATTTGTAAAAACTACCTTTTAACTTGAAAAACGTGTAAAATTTAGAAAAATAATGATTAAAATCCCATATGTATTGAAAGTGTAAAGAAATTACTGGTAACTCTTTACTTATAGCCTTTATAATGCATTATGAAATTATTTTTAATGCATTAATGATGCATTGTAATGCATTAATTATGCCTTGCATCTCATAATGCATTGTATGGTCTCATGAACAATTGTAACCGCAATATTTATCTATTCATTGGTACACCTTTAGAAAGTATAACTCAATAAAAAACATGACAAATTACCTATTTCAGATGTAATGAGAAATCTGCAAATATTGGTACAATTATTTATTAAAATATATAATGCATTATAACAGATTATTAATACATTTAATGCATTATACATAAAGGCTTTAACTAAAGTGTTGGTTATGAAACCTGATGGTTTCAATTAAATCAGTAATTAAATTAGCAGTAAATTGATCACATTAGGAATATTAATGAATAACAAGGTGAAATCATACTAATAAATCATATAAATAAAGATTTAAAGAAAATCATTATTTTTCTGGCTTGCAGGATAGAAAATAGAAGTATTTGACTCCCATGATAACTTCTGTCTCCGAGGATATCACGTCCATTGCACACAACAGTCTTTACAGGAAAATGAGAGTGTGAGGAAAAGAGAAAGAAAGAGATGGTGTGATACACACACAGGAGTATATTACAGACATTTCAATCATGAATAGGTGTAGAGAACTCTATATACCTTTTTTCAATGTCATTTGAGAGTCGTCTGGCCTCTTCTGGATCTTTTTTTAATAGTGCCTGGAAAGTGGAGAAAGACTCCACCATGCCGATGTAGCCAGAGAGAGGTACAGGCTTCCTCACCCAAAAAAACTCTTGCCTTGAGACAAAACACAGTTGCAGACCGGCTTATGATTGGTCAATACAGCATTCCAGCCATGTTATAATCCACAATAAAGAAATGGCTTTGACATTATTTATTTATTTTTCTATTTATTTATGATCCTGCATAGCAACCGTCTGTTATGTCAGACACGCATAATGAATTTGCTTAAAGGGATGGTTCACCCCAAAATGAAAATTCTGTCAGTAATTACTCACCCTCATGTTGGTCCAACCCCGTAAGACTTTCGTTCATCTTCGGAACACAAATTAAGATATTTTTGATTAAATCTGAGAGCTGGATCCCTCCTCCATATGGCTTCTAAGGGATTAAAACTTGCCGGCCCAGAAAAGTTAATAAAGACATCGTTAAAATAGTCCAAGTGACTACAGTGGCTCAATCTTAAGTTTATCAAGCAACGAGAATACTTTTTGTGATAAACTCTTGATAAACTTAAGATTAAGCCACTGTAGTCACTTGGACTATTTTAACGATGTCTTTATTAACTTTTCTGGGCCGGCATGTTTTAATCCCTTAGAAGCCATATGGAGGAGGGATCCAGCTCTCAGATTTAATCAAAAATATCTTAATTTGTGTTTCGAAGATGAACGAAAGTCTTATGGGGTTGGAACAACATGAGGGTAAGTAATTACTGACAGAATTTTCATTTTGGGGTGAACCATCCCTTTAATATCATTAAAATTAAAAATTGTGTCCTTAGTGTGACATCCATTTTATTAAATCAATAATGCACTCAAGGCAGAACAAGTCCTAACCATGGCTATAATCACAATATAACAGCTTCTCTTACATTATAGCTTAATAAAACATCTTCAGTCTCTAAACCTAGGACTGGTTGCACTTTGAACTGTCTTCACCTAACTACAAAATTGTCACAGTGACCAGAGTGCCTGTGATTGCCACCAGAGGGCACTCCACCCCGGACTATTCCCTCTCAATCATGGACTTCATCCCCCATAATCCTCTGCCTGGACTCATCAACTATAATTACATCCACCTGTGTGTCATTACCTTGTTTAGCTCACCCTTTATAAACCTGGTTTTCTCATTTATTCCCTGCAAAGTCTTGTTTAGTGTTTCTACTGCAATTCTGAGCGTTCTGTCTGTTGTTCCCGTGTCCGTGGTTTTGATCTCCGCCTGTCCTAGGATTTTTTGCCTCTGTCCCTGTGATTGTTTGGACTGCTTGCTTTATGTTTATGACCTCTTGCCTGTTTTCTGGATTACGTCTTTGGATAACGCTCTGAACAATAAACTGCATTTGAATCCTCAACCCAGGGGCGGCCTTACCTATGTTTCACCCGTTTCAATTGAAACAGGCCTTGCCCTCCAAGGGGGCCCCCAACAGACCGGCAAAATCCCATTCAATTTCTTCCATAGGATATTGATTTTCAGCCATAATGTCTAAACCATTCAAGGTAGATTGACTACGAGGTTGTGAAACAAAAGTTTCTGCTCCTATAAAAGCCACAAGGTATGAAATCAACCTTGTTATTCGCGATCTTCTGGAGAAATACTACACTACCCACAATTCTAAGCAAAACACTGACGTCTCTGATTGGTCGAACTCGCGGTTACCATGGCGACGTTTACCGCCCCGCAAACGGCTTGGATCTGAAGTATAATATTTGTAGTTTATGTATTTATACCTTTGCCTTTTTTGCCGTTAGGGTAAAATGTTATTTTGAGCAGGAAAATAATTTTAAGAGGAAATGAAACGTACATATGCCAGTGGTGCTGAAAAACGAAAGATATCGGACAACAAAAGAAAAGCTTCAGTCTACCAAAGTGAAGTTACCCTGCGTGAAAGGGCGAGGCTTATTCCAACGTAAAACGCTGTATAATTGTATATAGTTTGAATCAAATAAGGTTGGATTATTTCTATGTTGAGCAGAGCTGCCTGTTCATGAAGCTGAAAGTGCACGTAATAAAATAATATACCATTGATGCAAACCAACAGGAATCTTGCTTTTTCTGCTCTATTATGTTTATGTTTTATGTGGGTAGGGCCTCATATTAGTTATTGAAACGGGCCCCCAGATGCTTAAGGCCGCCACTGCCTCAACCTTCTTGTCTCGGAGCAGTTCGTAACAAAAATTTACATTTTAACAGCTAGTTGGATAATGTAGAACTATATTACCATTCTTTAACTGGGTACTGGAGAGAGTTGTAGGTTTTCTTGTAAAGTTCGAGGGAGCTGGGACCCAGGTAAGGGTTCCGGAAAGGCTGTAGCACTGCATAAAACTGTAATAAGACATATATAACTCTACAGTTGTGAGACAAAAATTGTAACACTTGTTCATGTGTGAAAATATCAAACAGCACATCAGGGCGGCCAAAACTTATCAGATGCTACAGCACATCAGTGCGACCTGTGAGTCACGAAACATGACAATGATTCAAAGCTCAGAAATAAACCAGTGGTTTAGGCCACATTTACACATAATGTTAAACCAGGTATTTAGAGAAACAAATATCCCCCCCCCCCCCCCACCCCCCCACCCCCCACCCCCCACCCCCCCACCCCCTCCCTCCCTCCGTTTTCAATAATAACATTGTGCACACAACATCGTTTTCAAAAAAGTTGTCATTTACATCAACCCGCATAAATACGCCGTTGGGCGCTCATGTGACGTTAAGCATTTTCTGGCGCATAATGTGACGTTTGAGAATCTAAAACCCCATTTCTCCCAGTTGACACGGCAACACATAACCGGCGTTATCAGAAATCTCCACTTTGGCCGGAGTAGAAATAATCGTTTTCTGTGATAAAAACGGGGTTTTCGTGTAAATGAGAGGCCGAACCGCAGAGAAATATCTGCGTCTTCCCTTCGTGTAAACGGGGCATCAGACAGCAGGTTTTTTTATTTACAATCTAAGAAAAGGCTCTACATATAATCGTAAAGGGTTCTGTCAGGTGCTTATAAAGAACTTTTTAGAGGTTCCCATTTTTTAACGGATTTAGTTTTAATTTAATTTGAATTAATGTTCAATCTTGATTAAATTTTATGAATTTATAATTAATTAGTAGCTAATAATGTAGTATGCAATAATTTAAGACATTTCTCCTTATAGAACATTTTTGGCATAAAGTCTTTAAAACTGAGTCAAGAATCCAATAGAAGGCCATTGAATCTTTTTTTTTAAGCGTGTAAATTGTACAGAATAAGTCTGAGTTCTGACCCATATTGAAATACTGTTTTACAATTTGGACTTTTCAGTGAAAATAATAGGCTTCATGAAAGTATAGTGCTTACAAAAATGATTATTTTGATCTTTGAACTTGTAGTTTAATCAGTCTTAGCGCTGTAAAATAGGGCGGGTAATGTGTGTTGAGTCAATGTTTTATTGTTATGACTTAAAGGGATAGTTCACCCCAAAATGAAAATTCTGTCAGTAATTATTCACCCTCATGTTGTTCCAACCCTGTAAGACTTTCGTTCATCTTCGGAACACAAATTAAGATATTTTTGATTAAATCTGAGAGCTGGATCACTCCTTCATAGGCTTCTAAGGGATTGAAACTTGCCGGCCCAGAAAAGTTATTAAAGACGTTAAAATATTCCAAGTGACTACAGTGGCTTAATCTTAAATTTATCAAGCGACGAGAATACTTTTTGTGCGCAAAAAAAACAACAAAAATAATGACTTTATTCAACTATTCATTTCCTTCTCTGTTGGCCTCGAGTTAGTTCACGTAGTGTAACTGCGCAGCGCTTCTGTGTTGTACGCCACACGTAGGCTCACTATTGGCCGACGCTGGTGTGTGATGCGTGTGACGTACAACACAGAACCATGAACTCACTGAGGCCCACAGAGGGAAATTAATAGTTGAATAAAGTCGTTATTTTTGTTGTTTTTTTGCGCACAAAAAGTATTGATAAACTTAAGATTGAGCCACTGTAGTCACTTGGACTATTTTAACGATGTCTTTATTAACTTTTCTGGGCCGGCATGTTTTAATCCCTTAGAAGCCATATGGAGGAGGGATCCAGCTCTCAGATTTAATCAAAAATATCTTAATTTGTGTTTCGAAGATGAACGAAAGTCTTATGGGGTTGGAACAACATGAGGGTAAGTAATTACTGACAGAATTTTCATTTTGGGGTGAACCATCCCTTTAATATCATTAAAATTAAAAATTGTGTCCTTAGTGTGACATCCATTTTATTAAATCAATAATGCACTCAAGGCAGAACAAGTCCTAACCATGGCTATAATCACAATATAACAGCTTCTCTTACATTATAGCTTAATAAAACATCTTCAGTCTCTAAACCTAGGACTGGTTGCACTTTGAACTGTCTTCACCTAACTACAAAATTGTCACAGTGACCAGAGTGCCTGTGATTGCCACCAGAGGGCACTCCACCCCGGACTATTCCCTCTCAATCATGGACTTCATCCCCCATAATCCTCTGCCTGGACTCATCAACTATAATTACATCCACCTGTGTGTCATTACCTTGTTTAGCTCACCCTTTATAAACCTGGTTTTCTCATTTATTCCCTGCAAAGTCTTGTTTAGTGTTTCTACTGCAATTCTGAGCGTTCTGTCTGTTGTTCCCGTGTCCGTGGTTTTGATCTCCGCCTGTCCTAGGATTTTTTGCCTCTGTCCCTGTGATTGTTTGGACTGCTTGCTTTATGTTTATGACCTCTTGCCTGTTTTCTGGATTACGTCTTTGGATAACGCTCTGAACAATAAACTGCATTTGAATCCTCAACCCAGGGGCGGCCTTACCTATGTTTCACCCGTTTCAATTGAAACAGGCCTTGCCCTCCAAGGGGGCCCCCAACAGACCGGCAAAATCCCATTCAATTTCTTCCATAGGATATTGATTTTCAGCCATAATGTCTAAACCATTCAAGGTAGATTGACTACGAGGTTGTGAAACAAAAGTTTCTGCTCCTATAAAAGCCACAAGGTATGAAATCAACCTTGTTATTCGCGATCTTCTGGAGAAATACTACACTACCCACAATTCTAAGCAAAACACTGACGTCTCTGATTGGTCGAACTCGCGGTTACCATGGCGACGTTTACCGCCCCGCAAACGGCTTGGATCTGAAGTATAATATTTGTAGTTTATGTATTTATACCTTTGCCTTTTTTGCCGTTAGGGTAAAATGTTATTTTGAGCAGGAAAATAATTTTAAGAGGAAATGAAACGTACATATGCCAGTGGTGCTGAAAAACGAAAGATATCGGACAACAAAAGAAAAGCTTCAGTCTACCAAAGTGAAGTTACCCTGCGTGAAAGGGCGAGGCTTATTCCAACGTAAAACGCTGTATAATTGTATATAGTTTGAATCAAATAAGGTTGGATTATTTCTATGTTGAGCAGAGCTGCCTGTTCATGAAGCTGAAAGTGCACGTAATAAAATAATATACCATTGATGCAAACCAACAGGAATCTTGCTTTTTCTGCTCTATTATGTTTATGTTTTATGTGGGTAGGGCCTCATATTAGTTATTGAAACGGGCCCCCAGATGCTTAAGGCCGCCACTGCCTCAACCTTCTTGTCTCGGAGCAGTTCGTAACAAAAATTTACATTTTAACAGCTAGTTGGATAATGTAGAACTATATTACCATTCTTTAACTGGGTACTGGAGAGAGTTGTAGGTTTTCTTGTAAAGTTCGAGGGAGCTGGGACCCAGGTAAGGGTTCCGGAAAGGCTGTAGCACTGCATAAAACTGTAATAAGACATATATAACTCTACAGTTGTGAGACAAAAATTGTAACACTTGTTCATGTGTGAAAATATCAAACAGCACATCAGGGCGGCCAAAACTTATCAGATGCTACAGCACATCAGTGCGACCTGTGAGTCACGAAACATGACAATGATTCAAAGCTCAGAAATAAACCAGTGGTTTAGGCCACATTTACACATAATGTTAAACCAGGTATTTAGAGAAACAAATATCCCCCCACCCCCCCACCCCCCACCCCCCACCCCCCCACCCCCTCCCTCCCTCCGTTTTCAATAATAACATTGTGCACACAACATCGTTTTCAAAAAAGTTGTCATTTACATCAACCCGCATAAATACGCCGTTGGGCGCTCATGTGACGTTAAGCATTTTCTGGCGCATAATGTGACGTTTGAGAATCTAAAACCCCATTTCTCCCAGTTGACACGGCAACACATAACCGGCGTTATCAGAAATCTCCACTTTGGCCGGAGTAGAAATAATCGTTTTCTGTGATAAAAACGGGGTTTTCGTGTAAATGAGAGGCCGAACCGCAGAGAAATATCTGCGTCTTCCCTTCGTGTAAACGGGGCATCAGACAGCAGGTTTTTTTATTTACAATCTAAGAAAAGGCTCTACATATAATCGTAAAGGGTTCTGTCAGGTGCTTATAAAGAACTTTTTAGAGGTTCCCATTTTTTAACGGATTTAGTTTTAATTTAATTTGAATTAATGTTCAATCTTGATTAAATTTTATGAATTTATAATTAATTAGTAGCTAATAATGTAGTATGCAATAATTTAAGACATTTCTCCTTATAGAACATTTTTGGCATAAAGTCTTTAAAACTGAGTCAAGAATCCAATAGAAGGCCATTGAATCTTTTTTTTTAAGCGTGTAAATTGTACAGAATAAGTCTGAGTTCTGACCCATATTGAAATACTGTTTTACAATTTGGACTTTTCAGTGAAAATAATAGGCTTCATGAAAGTATAGTGCTTACAAAAATGATTATTTTGATCTTTGAACTTGTAGTTTAATCAGTCTTAGCGCTGTAAAATAGGGCGGGTAATGTGTGTTGAGTCAATGTTTTATTGTTATGACTTAAAGGGATAGTTCACCCCAAAATGAAAATTCTGTCAGTAATTATTCACCCTCATGTTGTTCCAACCCTGTAAGACTTTCGTTCATCTTCGGAACACAAATTAAGATATTTTTGATTAAATCTGAGAGCTGGATCACTCCTTCATAGGCTTCTAAGGGATTGAAACTTGCCGGCCCAGAAAAGTTATTAAAGACGTTAAAATATTCCAAGTGACTACAGTGGCTTAATCTTAAATTTATCAAGCGACGAGAATACTTTTTGTGCGCAAAAAAAACAACAAAAATAATGACTTTATTCAACTATTCATTTCCTTCTCTGTTGGCCTCGAGTTAGTTCACGTAGTGTAACTGCGCAGCGCTTCTGTGTTGTACGCCACACGTAGGCTCACTATTGGCCGACGCTGGTGTGTGATGCGTGTGACGTACAACACAGAACCATGAACTCACTGAGGCCCACAGAGGGAAATTAATAGTTGAATAAAGTCGTTATTTTTGTTGTTTTTTTGCGCACAAAAAGTATTGATAAACTTAAGATTGAGCCACTGTAGTCACTTGGACTATTTTAACAATGTCTTTAATAACTTTTGGGCCGGCAAGTTTCAATCCCTTAGAAGCCTATGGAGGAGTGATCCAGCTCTCAGATTTAATAAAAAATATCTTAACTTGTGTTCCGAAGATGAACGAAAGTCCTTACAGGGTTGGAACAACATGAGGGTGAGTAATTTCTAATTTCTGACAGAATTTTAATTTTGGGGTGAACTATCCCTTAAATAGAAGATCAGGTGTTTTTTTATATTATTGGTCAAATGCACATTTTACATAATTTCAAAGAGCTTCTAAAATGTCCTCAGTATGTTGCACACACATACAAATGTTCAGACAGTTGACAAGCATTTATACCGTAAGTCAGAAACTTTCATTCTTATGATTCCTACCTCATTACAGATGTGGTTTAAAGTCTCTGAGCAGTCTCCATAGCTGAGCTCCATGTCCATGGTGTAGTTAAGAAGTGCGAGACAGCCATGAGGCTTAAGCACTCTGTGAGCCTCTTGAAGAAAACGTGAATGGTCAAACCAATGGAACGCAGACATTGCCGTCACAAGATCTACAGAGCCATCTTCAAAAGGCAGTTCTTCAGCTGGACTCTCCCTTTGTGTTTCAAATAAGTGAAAACAGTAGCATGTATACTATGGGTTAAACTCATGAAGAGAACAAAATCAAGGGCATAATCATGATTTATTTCACCTTAACAAACAAACTTTTTTACAAAGACACTGAAATCAAATATTTTTAAATTGCAATTAGTGACTCATTAATTATTTTCATTGCTGTAAAACAGTAAAGAGAATCCTCCTGTCTGGAAACAACACTCTAATTAAAATAAAAAATAAAAAATCATAAAGGCAGTACAACAAATATGATCATAATGTATAAATGCTTTGCAATTATATATATATGTGTGTATATGTAAGTTATACACACGATTTTCATACATTTAATTTGAAAGTCACTTTGGATAAAATAATCTGCTAAAGGAATAAATAAATAAAATGTCATTTAAAAAAAAATCTCTATATAAGCAAGTTTGATAATATTCCTCCTTGATTAGTTTGACATTTTTGTGCATATGCAGTGGTGTGTTTGATCCATTGTGACAGAAATGCCATAATGGCCCAGTTCCACAATGAAAAGACCATAATTCCAAACACAATTTCTGAGGCTCAATTGCACAAATCCTCAGATTAACACTCCCTTTTGTAGTAAAACGACAGGATACTAAATGTTTCTGCATTAGTTTTAAAGCAAAGTGTTGTGTGTTGATGACTGTGTACTGTAGTGCCTGGTTGATGGAAAGGTAAACGTGACAGCTGATTTATTTACACAAAGGCAAGCTGTTTGCCTACCATACCTGTAAGAGACATTTGGAATGTTGACATGTTTCCTCGCCATCTCCAGTTGAGCTGGGCTGATGTCTGTTCCCACTACACGAGTAAAATGAGGTGCTAAGAGCAGCGTTCCCTGCCCTGACCCACAACCAACATCTACTGCCAGGTCATTGGATGCATTTTTCTGAGAAAATACAGTAAAAGTGTGCAATATTTCCAAATGTAAATAAAATGGCATATATGGCAGGCTAATGAATGAACAAAAGTCTTACATTACTCCTGTGGAATTGTAGAACCTTGCTGATGAGCTCTTCAGAAGGAGAAATTCTGTACTTCCAGTATGAGGTTGCATGTTCTTTACCCTCAAACAAACGTACAGACATTTTTGGACAGCTGTACAGCCTCTCAAATCATAAAGCTGGAGAGATTTGAACAGTCAGTATACTAACTTGAGGGAAAGGAAGGGGTGGAGCCATCTCAGGTTTCAGGTTCTATTTGTTTCTTCACACGCTGACACAATATCAACTGTGACAAAAGCGCAAAGCGGTTTAAAACATTCCTTTTGGCTAACCATTATGTGCTCAGTTTGCTAATGAGGACTTGTGGCTCACACACACACAGAGGTTTTAGCTCATTCACTGTGCAGTAGAATACTAAAAGTCCTGTCAAGGTTAATGAACATCTCCTTTCCAATGAGCAGAATGGGATCAAAGGTTTCTAGGCTAACTAGATGTCATGCTGAGAGGATGAAGTTAAATATTCACATTGATATCAGAGCAGGGAAAACTTTACACTCAAGTTTTCCCTACAGTAATTTTGAAAGCCATCTCGGGTTAGTTTAAAATCATAAGATTGTTTGTAAAACAAGGGATGTAAGCATTTAAGAAAGATGGAGATATGAAAATATAAAAAAGAAAGTACAGAGATGCATCAAGCTCAACCAATCTGTTGATGTTGATATTGATGAACAGGGAGTGTTGGGGAAAGTTACTTTTAAAAGTAATGCATTACAATATTGCTAACATAACTAATTGCGTTACTGAGTTACTTTTTATGGAAAGTAATGAATTATGTTACTTTTGCGTTAGCTTTTCTCACCTGGGCTGGACTTTTTTGGCAAGAGGTATTTTTGGCAAATGTTAAGGCCTTTCACACCAAAAGTGAAGTGACTCAGGAGAATAAAGTTCAACACTATTCAGTCATATACACTCACCTAAAGGATTATTAGGAACACCATACTAATACTGTGTTTGACCCCCTTTCGCCTTCAGAACTGCCTTAATTCTACGTGGCATTGATTCAACAAGGTGCTGAAAGCATTCTTTAGAAATGTTGGCCCATATTGATAGGATAGCATCTTGTAGTTGATGGAGATTTGTGGGATGCACATCCAGGGCATGAAGCTCCCGTTCCACCACATCCCAAAGATACTCTATTGGGTTGAGATCTGGTGACTGTGGGGGCCATTTTAGTACAGTGAACTCATTGTCATGTTCAAGAAACCAATTTGAAATGATTCGAGCTTTGTGACATGGTGCATTATCCTGCTGGAAGTAGCCATCAGAGGATGGGTACATGGTGGCCATAAAGGGATGGACATTGTCAGAAACAATGCTCAGGTAGGCCATGGCATTTAAACGATGCCCAATTGGCCCTAAGGGGCCTAAAGTGTGCCAAGAAAACATCCCCCACACCATTACACCACCACCACCAGTCTGCACAGTGGTAACAAGGCATGATGGATCCATGTTCTCATTCTGTTTACGCCAAATTCTGACTCTACCATCTGAATGTCTCAACAGAAATCGAGACTCATCAGACCAGGCAACATTTTTCCAGTCTTCAACTGTCCAATTTTGGTGAGCTCTTGCAAATTGTAGCCTCTTTTTCCTATTTGTAGTGGAGATGAGTGGTACCCGGTGGGGTCTTCTGCTGTTGTAGCCCATCCGCCTCAAGGTTGTGCGTGTTGTGGCTTTACAAATGCTTTGCTGCATACCTCGGTTGTAACGAGTGGTTATTTCAGTCAAAGTTGCTCTTCTATCAGCTTGAATTAGTCGGCCCATTCTCCTCTGACCTCTAGCATCAACAAGGCATTTTCGGCCACAGGACTGCCGCATACTGGATGTTTTTCCCTTTTCACACCATTCTTTGTAAACCCTAGAAATGGTTGTGCGTGAAAATCACAGTAACTGAGCAGATTGTGAAATACTCAGACCGGCCCGTCTGGCACCAACAACCATGCCACGCTCAAAATTGCTTAAATCACCTTTCTTTCCAATTCTGACATTCAGTTTGGAGTTCAGGAGATTGTCTTGACCAGGACCACACCCCTAAATGCATTGAAGCAACTGCCATGTGATTGGTTGATTAGTTGCCTATGCTTTATTTTTCAGTTATGCACTTTATTTCGTTTCTGCTCTCGTCTTGATCTGGTTTGTTTAATACATATAATTATTTTATTAAAGTGGACGTGCCTTTTGTGTTTAAGAGTAAAAGCTTTAAGTTAATAGTCTCGTGTCTCAGCCGCGAAGCTGAGCTCCTGTTCAGCCTCGCTTGGTGCGAGGACATGCACAGAGCGGCTGAAATGAGTGTCTGACAGTTATTATAACATATGAAAAAAACAATTGTCTAAATTATGTCGCATTTTCCTCAACAGTTCTTGTGCTGATATCACTAGTTGACATACTATTGTATGTAGTTGAGTACTATTTTCGGAAATTATAGGCTAGATTGCGCAGTGGCACGTGATGCAACGCTGCCAGAGCCGACAGACTCGAGTGTGTCATTTCAGTGCAAAATAATTAGGTCAAAAACGATTTAATATACTGCAAATAGCCTACTAGTTTTTATGTTTATTTATAATTCATTTAGGCGGACAAGGATACCAAGTACTGCGCAGCTAATTAATTAAACGTTTTTTTTCCCCCGCGTTAAAAAAAAAGGCTTAGGCCTAAGTGTGGGTGTTAGGAAAGATTTATTTAAATTTTTACAAAACCTAGATTGGAGTAAATATTTTTGTGACATCCAGGGAATGCTTACTATTCATGTGAACAAACTACACAAGTGCAAATAATAAAAATAAAACATTGATTTTATTGTTGTTTTTTTAAACAACATTATATTAATGCATGCATGTTGTAAAGTAAATTACTTCAAAGTAACATTTTGCAACATCATAATACATAGTGAAAAACTAAGTGGTTTATATTTTCAGAATATTTCATGTGAAATTATAAAAAAATATTGTGTGTAAGCTCACAGATTTGTTAACAACTTGATTGACAAAGTAAGATTAAAACTTATGTAGGAACTACATTATATAAACACCTGGAATGACAGTACAGTAGTGTTGGGTCATGTGACTGAGTCATGTGTCACTCAGGTTTACATGCAAGCACACAGAAGTACTCCATTATAAAGTCAACTTTGGCCTCTGTTGATGACGCTTTCAACTCTTCTAGAATACTGGAACAGAATAAGTGACAGGTAGATATACCATCAATATCATATATAAAGGACAAAAAGCATATTAGCGTAATCTAATATTTTGAAGAATAATTAACAATGTTTCCTCAAAGAGAAACTTGCAGTACAATTTTGTGTTGCAAACCATGAATGCTGCATGACAGTAAAAGCCTGAAATGCTGAAGTTTTTGAGAAAGAAGTAATTACCGTGATGCTGTTTTCTCCAACAGCGCAGTTGCAGCATTTGAATCGGCTCTCAGATAGGCTTGGTACATGGAGAACGTCTGAATAAAACCAGTTACGTTCTTGATGCTCAGCTGCAGCTTTATTGGAATTATTTCGATCCTTACAAAGACACAACTAAATATTACAAAGATATCAGAAACCACAACTGCAACTCATATCATTTCAAAGATGGTATAATTTAAAATAAAATATGTAAAAGATAATATTATTTTAACATAATAATGTAAAGACAAAATATGTTTTATTTTAAACACAAATGTAACTATACAAAAGAAAGCAAACGTGATGAGCAGACTTGTGTAGAGGCTCATTTTGACACAGAAGGTTAATTATTCATTACAGTGCAGTGCTCTGGTTTACCTCTCTTTGTCTGGGAAGGGTATGGCTTCAAATAAGTCCTTTAGCTTACTGTTGGCCCCAGTTACCCTAGTGCTTGTGTAGGGCAGCAGAATTTGCTTTACCTAGCAGGATAAATTAATATCAGAGTGCAGTTATCACTATTCTGTGAGCACATTACAGCAGTTAAATTTCAAATTTGATAAACATGCATTCAGTAAGCTGAAGCTTTGGTATTTCAATATTAAACAGTGTCAGTTTGTTACATAATTTAGTATTAAATCAGCTCTGTGTACTCATATTCAATTCATATATGCAGTACATAGTTCTGGTATATGCTTACTTCCTCATATATTTTATTAAGTCGATCACCACAGGACTCATGGTGCATTTTCATATTGTCTCCATAGCCAAAGAGAGCAAGGCAGCCATGAGGCTTCAGGACACGTACAGCCTCCTTTATAAAACCTTCAGCGTCAAACCAATGAGCTGCAGACGCAGCCGTCAGCAGATCCACCGAGCCATCTGGGAATGGCAGATCCTCTGCAGTGCCAACTCTGTCAATTAATGATAAACATGACAGGGCTAGACCACAGTAATCTGTTAGCATTGTATTGCACAATGCTGTGTCTCAAAGACTTAATTTCATTCTTTCAAGTTTATACAAAGGTATAAAGGTGCATTGTTCCATATCTTTTGCACAATCAGAGTAAAGAAGAGATGGGACAAGAATGAGTTGTTTGTTAAAGGAGAGTAGAAACATGCTTTACTGACCTGTAGCTGAGGTTAGGGAACCCTGGCACTGCTCTTGCTTCCTCCACCTGAGATTCACTGACATCAATGCCCACCACCTGCTGAAAATATGGTGTCAGCGAACGAGAGTTCTGCCCTGTTCCGCAGCCTAAATCCACGGCCAGCTGATGGGGCTTTCCTTTCTGTGAAGCATGTTTTTATATTTTATTTAAAAAAATTACAACATTATATGAGAGAATAGAATTTTATGAATAAATTAGTAAATATGCATAGGTTATGTACCATCAGCTTCTTTACTGTATGACTTTGGAGGTGCTATGGTATCTTATATTATATAGTAGTAGTAGCCTTTATTGTCATTGGTCACAAGTACCAACGAAATTAGCCATCAACCTGTCCATACAAACATACATACAATATGACAAGGGGGTAGACAGGACAGGAATACAGAGCATTTAGGAAGAAAATACAGCATAACATGAGGAGAGGTGAAAAAAAAAAAAAAAAAAAAAAAAAATCTTATCTAAAATTGATATTGTATATTATTACAGCCATAGTATGTGTTAATGAATATTTATTATTATTATTACTACTACTACAATAATGTATTATAATTGTATTATAGACTTAATATATGTTATGGATATTTTGGAAAGGCCTCAGTTACCAAACAAACATTCAGCTGTCATGCACACAATACCGTGGACAAACATGTCAGATTGTTGCGCTCAAAATGTACAATAATATTACCTTTTTGTCCAGATACTGAAGAATAAGCTCCTTCAGCTCATCAGGTGGATCAAATCGATATTTTTGATATAGGGAGGCATGTTGTTTATCTTCGAACATTCTGCAAGTCATCTTCACTGTGATTTCAGAGCAAATCTTCAGAGGAAAATTCTGCACAAGAAGAGTTAATTATTACTAGACATTACAAGCAAGAGGCGGGACAAACCAATAGTGACCATGATAACGGTCTGAATAGAGTGGTGCAGGGAAGACGTCACAGCCGTTTCGTTGTACACCAGGAGTGCTCAATCCTATGGGAGGATGGGACGAAACACATTAAAACACTCGTGTTCACATTAGACTTGCGCAGACATGTGAAACACGGACGAAACACATTGAAACACTTGTGCATTCACATTAGACTTGCACAGACATGTGAAACACTTGAGCGTACAAACATATATTTGCGCATATATATATATATATATATATGAAACTACAGTGGCGGATTGCTGCCACATACATATTTTTTCCACTCAATTACGTTGCAATAACGAGATGTTATATCGTTTTAACAACATCTTTTCTTGTAATAACGAGATGTTATGTCGTTAAAACGACATAGGCTATCTTGTAATAAAGAGATATGTCCTTAAATGACACATTTTCTAGGCCAATAAGGACATGTGTAGTCATGTACAGAATATGCCTTTATCCACATAAAATTTATATAGCCTATCATGCCTTTATCATACTTCTACGTTCGAAAAGCTGAAGCAAATAGTAGCAGGACATTCTAACGCTTTCCTCCCATAGAAACCCGTTATTATAAAGAAAATGCTTAACGTGGCTTTCTATGGGAGGATGGCATTGTGTTTTCCACAACAAATCCTTTAAATGGTATTCAATGCAAAAAAAAAGAAGAAAAATAGGCTAAGTAGCCTATAAAATAAACATACATTTTTGTGGCATTTATTAGCCCAAAAACAATACTTATTTTAAAGCCTAAACTAATTTATTTAAAGCAAAACTGAAACCAGTGTTGGGCGTTTATCTGTAATAGGCTGTGTTGTATTTGTTTATATTATTATTATTAATATGTGCATTTTTATTTTTTATTTATGAACATGTATGTAGCCTATATCACCGCTTATGGGTGGGGGAATGGCTCGGAGTTTCGTTTGTTGGAAATATTAACTAAATTTAGAAATGCTATTGAAATGAAAAACTTTGTGTTTAATAAACAAAATAATTTTTTTAATGAAGATGACGTTTGGAGTGGTCAAATATTCCATTCCCTGAATCAAGGGCTTAATATGAGGAAAACGCTTAACGTGTAATTCATGCATTGCGTTCATATTCTGGGCTCATCTACTTTTATATACATAGTATGGTTTATTAATAAGGTGTGTACAGAATTTGATCTTTTAATATCACTGTCTCATTAAGCCACGTTAATCCTTTTTCACATTAAGCGTTAGAATGTCCTGCTACTATTTACTTCAGCTTTTCAAACGTTAAAGTATGATAAAGGCATGATAGGCTATATACATTTTATGTGGATAAAGGCATATTCTGTACATGACTACACATGTCCTTATTAGGCCTAGAAAATATAGGCTATTGTTTTAACATAACATCTCGTTATTACGACATAATTGAGTGGAAAAAAATAATATGTATGTGGTCTGGTAGCTATGCAGCACCGTAGTTTCATATATGCACAAATGTGAACGCGCAAGTGTTTCAATGTGTTTCGCAAGTGTTTCAATGGGTTTCGTCCGTGTTTCACATGTCTGCGCAAGTCTAATGTGAACGCACAAGTGTTTCATCAATGTGTTTTGTCCCATCCGGCCTCCCATACAATCCTGTTACTGGAGATCTAACTTCCTGCAAAATTCAGCTCCAATCCTGATCTAACACAACTGAACCAGCTAATTAAGATCTTTGTTAGCACTTGATAATTACAGACAGGTATGTTGGATCTGAACTGCATCCTATGACCCTGAAACCGATCCAGCTCAGCCATCTTGAAGGACATCTCAATTCTCTAATTGCACCACGAGGAGGCGAGGATCGAGGAGTGAGGAGGCTTCCTGAGGAGTTATGAGTGAGGATACACAGGTGTATCCTTTGCGGAAGAGCTTTATTGACTAAACGTGACGGCACGTATCAATTCTCCTCCCTCTTCACATCGGTCACAATAATTTTAATTTATACTTAACCTTTGCAGTTTATAACCACACATCTCACATATTTCAACAGGGTATCTTGCTTTATTATTATGTATTATGAATTTCTTAAATAACCACCAAACTAATACAACATAAGGGCAGATTCTTTGAGCGCAGCTGATGAAGCTATGAAGTAATGCTCGAGTGATCAAGTATTCAATGTATAAAAAAAGCTTTCATTCGATTCCTCCGTCCTCATTTTCTTTCCTTGCAGCCTTCCCTCGCATCTTACAGGGGGTGGAGCCATAGACAGTAAGGGGGGAGCTGAGACGCGAGGAAAGGAAACGAGGATGCACAAATAAGAATTGAGAAGCACCCAGAAGTAGATCTCCAGAAACAGGACTGGGCACCCTGATTTACACCAACAACACTGAAAAGTGATCATAAATAACCCATTCTTTTAACTATTTGTTTACATAAATTGATTCCAGATTCATTTACGTCGTCATCATTAAAAAGTGATAAGAAAATGTTGGTACAAAGAAACGGACAGAAAGCTTAATAGGATTTGTAAAGACATCATATTACACAATGTCCGAATGTGCCAGAGTTTACTGATGATAAAAAGATCGAAAGATGTAGCCCATAGTTTTCATTTGATGCCGTTGATATATCTAAACGAGGAGAGCGGCTAATGTTTTGTAATAAACCTACATAAATTAATGAACAGACGGTTTGACTATGGAATTTAAAATGTACAACATTATACTTTTTTTTTCAATATTAATGCATCACTATATTTAAAAACATTTTTAATAAAATAACATTCTTAATTGGTCTTTCACGTTGCGATATTTACACTGCTTGACTCGTGCGTGACGTGTCTTCATTGGAACTCACAGAGACGGAGATGATGCGAGCTGTGTGTCATCTATCAGCCGCTGTCTTTTTCTGTTCGTGCCGGTAAAATATGGCGCTAAACACTCAAAATCAAAGTTGCAGTCTGGTAATTATTGTCTGACAAAAGAACGCTAGCCTCGACTGGACTCGTTTGATAAATAATACCATGTAAATTGTAATAAGACTGTGCAGTGCTATCATAGAGTGCTATGGACGTCGCCATTGATATTTACGTTTTTCAGTGTCTCAGTCACAGATCAACAGCCAGATATCGCGAGAGTAGAAAACGGGCTTATTTGTTCGTGCACTATAGGCGCTACTAAAATAATTATAACTTACTTCAGTTTGACTAAATGTATTTAAAACGAAGGGCAGTTTTAAATAATATCTTTACGTGTATTTTTAGAATATATAATCGTGTATTCTATATTTATTATTATTATACTGTATCATACAAAGGATCTTTATCCATTTTAGAATGTGAAGTGCTGTTCTCTCATTTTTTTTTTTACTTTGATCACACTCGCACTGTAAAAAACAAACAAAAAAAAAACAGATGTGCTCTTTGAAAATGTGTTTATTTATACATCACCAGAGGGCAGCAGCCAAGTTGTCAAGTCAAGTCAGAAGTTGACTGAGTAAACACGCTGTGAGGATGTAGAAGATGGAAGCGAAGACACAGCAGCTGTGTGCAATGGTCATTTGGTAATTATGGCCAAAGTGTGCTATCATCTAAGCATTAGGAATTAAAGAGGACTATCACATCTGAAAGACACAAATAGCCTAATAGGCCTATAATTGTAAACTGATATGTAAGTGTTTCTAACTAAGTTTCTAACAGTAAGCTAACTGTAGACTTGTGAACAACCCAGACTTAAACAATGTTACATTATCTAAAAAATAATGTTGGCCGATGTGCCGGCGTTGGCATTTGCTCGATCCACCTGTTCGATGGCTTCGGACCATTCTCCCGGAATTTTTTTTAATGCGTTTATGGGTGAATGTGTAACTAATTACAGCAATAGTCTTCTGCGGGACTTTAATATTCATGTGTGCTGTCAGTCAAAGCCTCTAACAATGGAGTTTTTAAATCTCATTGGCTCATTTAACATGGTTCAGTGGGTGAAAGATCCCACACATACTCTTGGACATACTTTGGACCTGCTACTCTCTCATTGCGTTTCCATTACTGATGTTCAGGTTTTTAACACTCTGATCTCTGATCATATGCTTGTACTGTTTTCTATGGCCTTTCCTACAGATCGCACATTTCACCTACTGCACAATGGACTCGTTCCTTTTCTCCCTGTTTCCATGATGAATTCACTAACTCCTTTAATGAGGTGTGTCTGTCTCTGTCCCTGTCCCAGAGTCACCCTTACCTGACTTGGATGCTGAAGAACATCTTAGTCTGTTTAATACTGTATGTTCCGAGGTTTTAAATACCACTGCTCCTTTAAAAGCTAAGATTTCAAAACCTAAGACTGAACCATGGTTCAATGATACCATCCGCTCTCTGAGGTGAGTATGTAGAGCAGAACGTAAATGGAAAAGTGATAAGCAACAAATTTCTTATGAAATGCTTAAAAACTCTCAGTGCTTTTCAGAAAGCTATATCTCCTAAGTCTATTTTTCTAATTTAATTTAAAAAAACCATCATAATTCAAAAACCTTATTTTCTGCGTTAAATTCTCCCCTAAATCTTCCTATAAATGTGATTTCAAATCCCTCAGTATCATTATGTGAAGGTTTCTCAAGGTTTTCTGTGAGAAGATCACCTCTCTAAGATCACAGTTGCAATCATCTGCTAATGTCTCACCTGAACCGAGTTGTTCTTCAGCCATAAGGAGTGTCTTTGAGAGACAGAAGAGAAACTGGTTCAGAGAAATTGTTGATCATTTAAAACCTTCCTTCTGCTTTCTTGATGTTCTTTCTCCCCGTATCTTGAAACAAACTTTTGATTCAGTCGGAACATGTTTGGTGTCTTTTCTGAATAAATGCTTGAGCACAGGGACTATCCCTGATATACCGGTACTAAAACAAGCTACTGTTACACCTCTTCACAAGAAACCTTCACTTGATGATAGGGATTTTAATCATTTTCGACCCTTCCTTTTATTACAAAAGCATTGGAGAAAACGGTTCTCAATCAACTCCAGTTTTTTCTTAGCTCAAATCAAATTCTTAAAACTTTCCAGTCTGGTTTTAAGCCTCTGCACAGCACAGAGTATGCTTTATTAAGGGTTTCTTTCTAATGATATACTGTCAGCGACTGACGCTGGTGACTACTGTTAGACTTAACCTCGGCCTTTGATACAGTTGATCATAAAACTCTCTTATCCCGACTAGAATATTTTGTGGGCATCCAGGGAACTGTCCTCAGTTGGTTTAGATCGTATCTAACAAATAGAAGTTTCTCTGTCAAACTGGGTAATTTTTCTTCCTCGCCAGCCCAACTCTCCTGTGGAGTGCCGCAGGGGTCTGTTCTCACACCCATTCTTTTTTCCATATATTTACTTCCTCTGGGCTCCATTTTCAGAAAGCATGGTGTATCATTTCACTGCTATGCAGATGATACACACATTTATTTGCCTCTGAAACGCAACAAAGATATACTGATCTGAAATATCTTTTTGCATGCCTAGAGCTAGAAGTAGTAAAAATGTGGTTCTCTCAAAATGTCTTATTTTTTAATGAATCCAAAACCGAGGTTATAGTCTTTGGCCCCCATGACAACTAATAGCAGTAACATTGATCTGGATTATCTCTATCTAACTTCATCTTGCATTAAGAATTTAGGTGTTCTCTGGGATCAGAACCTCAAATTTGAAAAACAAATAAACGTGGTGATTAGTTCTTGTTTTTTCCAGCTACGTCTTCTCAAGATCAAATCCTCTCTCTCTGAGAAAACCTTAGAGATTGCTGTCCATGCGCTCATTACATCGCGGTTGGATTATTGCAACTCTCTTTACTATGGTATATAAACACTCCATTGCTCGTCTCCAATTAGTACAGAATGCTGCTGCAAAAGTGTTTCATGTTTCACCTATCTTAAAATCACTGCATAGTGCATTGGCTACCTGTGCATTTTAGAATTGAGTTTAAAATTCTTCTTTTTGTTTTTAAATCCGTAAATAATCTGGCACCGAGCTATTTGTCTGAGCTACTCTGTCCACACAATCCCACACAAAACCTGAGGTCATAAAAAGATGATCAGAGATCAGAGACTTTTGTCTGTCCCCATATAACGGTTAAAGAATAGAGGGGACAGAGCCTTTGCGATTGCTGGCCCTAGGCTGTGGAACAGCCTTCTGGTTTACATCAGAGCGGCTCAATCTCGAACTGTTTTTAAATCCTCTATTAAAACCCTTTTTTTTCTTTAGCTTTTAATTTGTTGTGAGCTTTTGTCATGAAAGTGTGGTTTGTCCTTGTTCTTCATCTTGTGTATTGTTCAGCACTTTGGTCAGCCCTGTTTGCTGTTTTTAAATGTGCAATATAAACAAATACAAACTTGAAACTTAATGTATGTGCCATTTTCAGTGATCCTGTTCTCAAATATCCAAAGTATGGCAAAAAGGTAGGCCTACCTCAGCTGACCCAAACAGTCCATTTAAAACGTCAGTATTCTTTTGTTTATTTTAATATCTCTATTTAAAATGTAAAGTCAAAAGTTTTTTATTAAAGAGAAAAAAAATGAACAGCGCATTACTACATTTCCTTCCTTCTTTCATTTCCTCTTGCTCTAAAATAAACAGAACAAAACAGAATGCATATTATCTCCGTTTTAATTTTAATGTTGAGAAGTGGTTTTTTTTGCAAATCTCAAGAAGGTGAGTTTTACAAACCTGAACATAAATAATATATATATATTTTTAAGTTTCATAATTTTTGCTTTCTTTTGAATGAGTTGATTCTGTCTGGAAACTTGTCAGTTATGATTAGTTGAACAGGATATGTTGAGTTTTCTAAACCTGTAATTTTTATTTTAACAATACTCCGTGTTTGTAACAGGATTACGTTTACATAAATCTGCCAGGTAGAAAATGTATTGTATTATTATTTAACATGCGAGTAAACATTATGCTTGTGACTATAATGATGTGATTGATTAACTCTATCCAAATCATAGGAATTCTAATATTTTAACTATCCAAATCATAGGAATTCTAATATTTTGTTATAGGGCCCCCCATATTTATTCACTCTGTTTTAATTTCATTTCTCTAAAAGTTCTGCGTGGCGTTGATGTGTCTTTGCGATGCGAGGTCTCTTTCCTGTCTGAATCCTCAACATTGCAGTGGGAGAGAGATGGAGAACAAACATCAAACACCACTCTACTGTACAACAACTCTGCCTACATCATCTTACACACCGTTGATGAACACAATCAGGGCAAATATTACTGTAGATTGATGGAAGATGGAAGAGTAGCAACGGTTAGGATTCACACGCTTAATCTCCGTTCAAGTAAGTATATTTTATATTAAATCTCTGGTGTATGCCTAAATAATAATATTTTCATTAAGAATACTAAGTTAAACATGCAGAAGTAATCTCAAATAAAAAAAAATATTTAGGCATATAGACAGTGCTTTTTAAAACTGAAATGTACTGAGATGTATTCAATGAAATTCACCATGTCACCTATTGTCTTTCCAGATTCATATAATGGATATAATAAAATTAATACCATTTACAGACAAAGCTCTAATAATAGTGACGTATCACTGATCTGCAAGTCTAAAAAGGAATACCATAGATGGAAGTGGACCTGGGAGCCGAGGCCTAATTCACAGACTGATCTGATAGCAGTTGAAAAAGGAAGAGAAGTTAAAGTTAAAGGACCAATTAAACCAGGAAGACTTTCTTCAACCACATACAATAGTCAAGTTTTTATCTTTCACATCTCACCTGTGAACTTCAATTATAGTGGGACATACAGGTGTATTACAGATGAACAAAAAACTACATATACAACCACAATGCTTCACACCATCAGAGGTTTGCAAATATCAATGAATGAATCAATCAATCAATCAATCAATCAATCAATCAATCAGTACAAATAAATACATTGATTTTTTCAGCCACATTTTGCTCATCAGTTCATTGTTCAGTGCATTTAAAAAGGCATTGATGTTGTTGTTGATTTCAGTCTCAGCGGAGCGTGTGTTGAGGAAAAAGTCAGTGATTCTCACCTGTGAAGTTTCTGAAGTGACTGATTCAGTGATGCTCGTCTGGCTCAGGATGGAGGGGAACAGAGGAGTGCTGGGAAAACAGCAAATTATGACTGAGAAAAACAACAAGTTACAACTCACAGTGAATCTGTCCAGCAATGAAACAGACCCGCTGCACTGGCAGTGTGCAGTTTTTACTGAGGATACACTCAGAGCTCTGGCTCCTATAACAATCAGTCTTTCCTCATCATCAGGAACTCCAACTGTAACCAACCAAAGTAATATCTTTTAACCATAACTTTACAGTATTTTTTCACCCTTAACTCAGAATTATATTGTATATTTTAAGCGTATAGTATACAAATAGTGATTAGTGTAGTCATGACGCTGAGCAGTGTTGGTGTATTATCTGACTCCACATGTTTCTGCAGAAGATATCATGACACAGGAAAGTCATCTACAGATCGTGATCATCGTGGTGTGTGCTGTCACTGGCACTGTGCTGACTCTGCTGCTGGGACTTCTAGTTTTTAAACGTCAGCGAAAAACAGGTGAGCTGATCTCAGAGACCGTGTGAGGAGGAGAAGATGCTCCATAGAAAAATAAATGGGACAAATTGTTACACTCAGTGTGGCAGTTGAATAATTGTTTTGATTTCAGTTACAAAAGCGAATTGACTTTTTAAAGAGACATTAGCCTGTTTTTTGTAGCCTACATGCATGCTTATTGTTATTAGCTTGATAAGCCTGAAAGAAACAGATTTGATCATGATTTGGGCTCTCCATTCAAGTAGATTGGAGCTGTACTTGTATACCTTTTTTTACATAAAAAAATTGTATCTAAAACGGCAGCCAAGCCAACTGATTTGCCTTAAAGGGACATTAGCTTATCTGCACATTAGCGTTGCCACTGAGACCGTTATCTTGATGAGGGTAAGAGGGGGTCGATTTTTGAGAACCTAATGGCATTATACATTTATGCCATCATAAACAACTACAGTGCATGTTTCAAATATAAACTTTAATTCATATATTAAAATGTTTTGCATGTTTTATGTGTCTGTGTCCATGTTTATAATCCATGTTTTTATGATTGCAATGAGCTTTGAAATGAGGGATATTGTCGTATTGTTTCGATAGATGAAGTTCATGTCACTGGATTAAAATCACAAGAAGATGAGGACATCCATTACGCTTCAGTGACGTTAGCAGGATCTAGTCCGGGTGAGGCAGGATGGAAGTTCATTAACCTCTGTGTGTTCTTTAGTGTGCTAAATCTATGACTTTGATTAATTTTCCAGGAGATGACAGCTGGTTTAAAACCGATCATGCAAGTTCAGAGGTCAGCTATGAAACCCCTTTTTCATAAATATTTCAGAACATAATTTTGATTCGCTAATGATGTTCTATATATGTTTGTGATTTATGTATATTTAATACACTCTTTAAGCTTGTATATCTTAATATCTCCAGGTGTTGGAGATGAATTCTACAGTAATCTACTCAGCTGTTAAAGCACAGTGAGCCATCGCACTGGAAATTAATTTATATAACTTTTTTCCATTGATGTATTACTAAATGGAAATGAAAACACCAAATGAATCCTCTATTAATAATAGCTGTCTGGTTATTAATTATTTTGGTATATAAAAAATTTAAACTCATGAAGTATTTATGTTCAAGTGCATCTTGGGTTTGCTCTATCTGTCAATGGGTCTTTAGGTTTCATTTGCATTGGGAAAACAAAAATCTAATACCAAATCTCTGAGTGTCGATCAATCTTGTTTGCATGCCAGATCGAAACCTCATTGTGGTTTCATAACATACAACCGTGTTAAATATAGCGCAGTATTTCCTGTGTTGGAAAACTACAACAGATGTTTCTACTAGCCAAGTCAGATAAAAAATAATTATATATATATATGTAGAGAGAGGGAGAGAGAGAAGCAACCATTTTAAACAGTGAAATATTAATAAAAGGAAGCATGATGTCAGGCCTATTGTCATGTTTTTTTTTTTTTACCGTTTAGTCCCTGTGTACTTGGTTGCTATGGTTTCTCATTGATTGATCAGTCCCACAACTTGTTTTACCCCTCATTATTGTTGTGAAATTATTGTTGTGTATTTTCTTAATGCTGCTCATTTAACTTAATTTCCCATAATGCACCGTGTTACGTGTTTCCGAAAAAAAAAAAATCCAGTGTTACGTCTGTGAATACTGAAGTGAGTAAAAGTCATGCTATGTCTATGTGTGTGGCGTACTACTACTTACCAGTCTGAGCTGTTGTATTCTTTGTATTCTCATCAGTTTTATATGCTTTGTTAATAAATACACTTCTTGCTGTTAGATCCTCTACTCTCCCTTTGTGGACCAACCCATGACACTAGCAAATTTTGTGGGTTTTATCTGGCAAGATTTGTTATTTCCATAATTTCCTTTTCACATTTTCTGGGTTCTCAGAAGCAGAATGCATTATAGTTGGGTAAACTTCAATGGTGGTGAACAGGAGATGACAGCAAATATTATTTTTGTATTACTATTTGTTTCAATAGCAAAATTAAAAATCCATGATATGTTTCCACAACTTTATAAAAGAGGGAAAAATAGGCTACAGCAGCCTGGAGAGAGAATTATGTGAAATTTGCTGTCACTCCTGTAGCAACAACGAGAATGCAACCCACACGAGTGAAGCGTTCGTACATAATCAAACACAAGGGGCTGCATATTCCAAAAACGTTGTCAATGTTTTATAATTCGGCAAGAACAGATCTGTTCAGAAATGGTGAAACAAGAGGCCCTAACAAGAAGTCACCTGACCCCTGCGACTAAACAGACTTTCTTTAAGAACCAAGGTCTCATGATATGTTGAACAAGAACAGACTTCAGCAGGAACTTTCATTACCTCAGACTGGAATGTCTTTCTTAAACCCCATAAACTTTACACACCGACACACTTGCACATTTTAAAATCCATAAAACTCATCCCAGAACAATTCTTGACTGACCCAGAATCAAAATCATGTAACATAACAATTATATATTGTGTTTACAACCCCTGTATGTGTCTATTCTGCTTAGATCACATCTAAGTCATGTAATTGTTTTGAGATACTGAAATGAAAGTGTCGTGTTTCCTATCATTATGCTCGTATGTGTTTAATTCAAAAGATGGCTTGATTGAAATCTGTGTAAAAATGTTTATGTTCTTAAAATGGAAATTATGTCTAAACTGAATCCTCTGTTTCGAGCTGATGAGTAAACAGACCACAGAGAACACATGATTCGCGATGAGAGAAGGTGGGTGGGGGGTGGGGGGGTAATCTTATTGTCCGAATTCCAAATTCCTCCAGGAGGCGGGACAAACATTTTGAGTTTAAAATCTTAGACCCGAACACAGAATCTCTCTCTTGTGATGCGCTCTTGTGATCCGCTCTTGCCCTCTGCTCTTGCCCTCTCTCTCTTGTGATGCTCTCTTTCGGCAGAACAAGCCGGGTGGAGCCGACGATGGTTATAGTAACCATGTAGACGCAGAGACAAATGACCCAAATCAAGATATGGGTTAAAACAGATTTAATTCAAGCCATCTCGTCACTTTTGTTTCTTTCCTTAGTTTCTTTTCTTTTCCGTTAAAAGTCTCGGTTCTAAGTTAAGTGTTGCTGCAAAGTTTCGTTTTAACGTTTCAACTGCAAAACCAGCTTTCAACTTCAAAGACTTTCATTCATCCGCGCCAACACACCACGTGACTGGCTGCCCAAGATCTATCAAGCACGAGGAGACCGCCAGCCAAACAACGGACCCGGGAACCCCCTTCACGACAAAAGGGAACCCCAAAGCAAGGACAAGCAAGTACCTCCAGACTTTTAGCTCAAACTGCAGGTGCATTTTAATATCAAATTGAATTACCCGCCTAAGAAACGATACAAGGGTGAAATTAATTATTGATGGTTCGTTCAGGTCATGTCTTTTAAGTGCATATAGAAACTTGGGATCTCACCATCTAACTCCTAAAACTCATTCTTCCTCACTCTCTGTCTTTCTTCAACTTGTATGAATGCGTGTGCGTGTGTTTGTGTTAGATATTTGTTTTGTGTGTTAGTCATAGGCTTATAATCAATAAAGTATTGTTTGTATTTGAAAAGAGAAGCATTACTTGTGTTATGTGCTTACAGATTTATTGTCTTGACCTTCGATCTAAGTTACCTATGCTTTGACCCTTGATTTATTTCTTAATTTAGCTGTTAGCTGGGAATTAGTCTTTCTTGGCCAAGAAGATATTATATTTCCTAGAATTAATGATTGTTTATGCTCCGTTCATTGGATGAACTGATAAACTGATCATACTATTGATTTTGCTACAGTAAATTCTGAAAATAATTCAATTATTAATTATTGATCATAATCCGTTATGAATAATAATTAATTATATTTATACGTGCGTATAATCGCTACACTCCCTTGGCCGTTGTATTAGAAAACCTTGCAGCAGTTAATTAGATTTTATTATTTATAATTTACTGCTAATGTAATACAACGCAAAGTATAGCGTTATAAATGTATGTTAAATTTAAACATGGAAATATGAAAACATTTCTAGATTTGCGATGTTGATAACTGTGAATGTGAGACACATCAACAGTCTGTGAGAAGGGTCCACTCACAGCATATCACAGCAATTTTTTACACGCAAATTACTACACGCGGCAGGAAGAGGTTCATGGCCTGCGTGGTCTTCTGTACCTCAGAAAAACGGTCAACGATCCCATTCACCGCTGGGCCGAAGAGACCAGTAGGGGAGAGCGGCGCGTTCAGGAAGGTGGCGCGCTC